GCTGAAAGCAGCTGACAATCGTGGGCAGGTGGGGCTGGAACTGCCTGCTCCTCTTTTCACCTTCCCTTTTCCCGAAATCCACCCTCTGTGCCAGCCTGACATCTGCCTACACCCAGGGGAACCTTTGGGGATTCCAGGCTCAGCTGTAACCTGGGGCTTTGGAAGCTCTGAGCTGCGGAGCACGTGGCCCTGGAGAGATTCCAGACCTGAGGCCGGGAGCAGGTAGCGAGGCTTGGGGTTAGGGGAGAGGGCGCGTGTTCTCTGCTTCTCGCCAGTGTGTTGCAGTCACAACTGTACACAACTGTAGTTTGCTTGGGTCAATAGGCACAGTCATGTTGCTGTGTGACAGTGGCACCTCTGAGGTGGCTGCATTTCAGGTTTCCAGGAGACCCTGAATCCTATGGATAATATCTGTTTCAGGGGGTATGGAGGAGTGGAGGCACTTGGGGTTAAGTGTCTGAAGATGGCTCCAAGGACGCCATTACTTATTAGCTTGTGATAAGCTGTTCAGTGTCACCTTTCTGGGCCTCATTCGTCTCCTGTCAAGGGGAGATAGATAATGACCACTACCCTCCACAGAAGGTTTTGTCAAGGTAAACCAGGTTCACACATGCATAAGAGCTCTGTCAATTCTCCCACTAACTCTGAGGGCAGAGGTGTGTCTTATTTACTTACATGTCCCCAGGGCCAAGCAAACTCAAATGTTTGTTGATTGATTACATGAATGGATGATGCAGTGAAGTGTACAGGACATGGGAAATCCGGAAATATATAAAATGACTAAGAACTTGTTCAACTAAGAAAAAGCAGATTTCCACATGTGCCCTCATATCCACCCACATTTAGGTAAAAATGGAATGAGCTAATGTTTGTGAGGAAACATTTAAAAATGAAAATTAGCTGAAGTGATATCGTCTTCCAACCTTTCCTTTCTCATCAATTCTTGGCAGCGCTTTTGCTGCCAAATGTTTTTCCGTTGGAGTCATGAGGCAGGATAGGCCGCTACTTATGTGACCTGTCTATTACTGATTCATTATATGGGAAAAAACTGTCACCTCTAGCAAACTAAAGTAGTCAATCTCATAGACTGGAAAATACTTTTATGCTTGACTGAGACAAATGCCTTTCTGAGTTTTGGATAAAAGGGACCTTTCCACCTGGTATTTCTTTGTTTCCTATTTTTCTGTTCCTATCCTCCAGAGGAGAATGGACTTGGAAGTCAGATTATTCTAATTTTAATCCTGGCTCCAACCTCTCTGCCCATTTGACCTCCGTTTAGTCATTTGAACTATTTGGGTCTCAGTGTCTTTGTCTGTGGAGTGGGGATATGTGGTGACTTGAGCAGGCATGTGCTTTTAGGCCTCCAACTGGAGGGAGTGTAATCAACCAGGAGCCCAGCGGCTGCTGTGAAATCCACTGCGGGCTTGCACTGTGGGCACATGTCCCACGGGCTGTCCCCAGCTGGTGACTGAGTGTGGCAGCGACCCTAAGGCAGGCCTCTTCCTTGGAGACACAGAAACCCTCAGATGGCCGACTTTGTCTCATGAACTCCTTGACTTCCATGTTGAAACTTCCTCAGGCTGCAGATGGTACAGGACCCTTACACACATCCTTCACTCCCTCCTTCATGTGTGGCCAGACTCATGATGTGTCTGCCAGCTGTGTTAGCCTCGGCACTGCTCGCATTTTCTCTCACATATGCGTTTCTTCTAATAAAGTCCATGTACATTTAATCCCCTCTTGGTATCTGCTTCTGGGAGGACCTGGACTCACACAGGGTGATGCTACCTTGTGGTGAGGCCCACATACAATGATGTCAGCAAGAGTATTCGAGTGACAGGCACAAAGTAAGTGCCCAGTTAGTGGTAGGATGTCCCGTTACCTTCACCTCCAACACCACAGTCGTCATCATCTTTGCTGGCTTCAGGCACAGAGAGCTCCAGTGGCACATCCCAGGTCACAAGGCAACTTCGTATTAGAGTGACAGCAGCAATGGTTTCTGAGAAACCATGGATTGATTAAAATACCCTTTGAAAATATGTTACCCAATGTAAGCAAAAGGCTCAAACCAAACCCTTTTCCAGCCATTGAAATGTGCAGCCATCTTTGCCAAAGCAACCAAGTCCATGTTTAGTCAAATGTACAAAAGATTGGTAACATTCTTAGATGCCTGCCAGTGCTCCTGATATCTACTAATATATACTCCAATCAGTAAACCTGGGCAGCTCATTTGCTGTATCCTCTATGGGGGTTAAAAAAAAATTGGCTGTTATTACGCAAATTTTGCAGATAAGGAAAGAGAAACTAAGTGGCAGTTTCAAGGTCACCCAGAAGCTGATGGGTTTGGGACTGAAGCTGGCTTTTGCTCCTGGTGCTTTGGAAACTCAGGGAATAATGGATTCTGTTCAAACTCTGTTCCCAGGGCCAGTCTCTTAGCAAACTGGCACCAGGAAAGACCTTTCTCAAGCTTGTTTCTGTCCAGCCTCAGGGATGCTGGAAGCCCTGGAACCATCCATGCTACCGGTCAGTGAAGGAAACAGAGCTCCAACTGGCCTCCATATCTCAGGGCCATCATTTGTCACCTAATGGTTGTTACCTGATGCTGTGGAGTCTGTTCCCTAGGTAGATTGTCAACCCCCACCCCCATGCTGGGAGGGACCGTGATGTATCCCCACCACCGCACAGCCACTTGTGCTCATGTGGCGCTAAATTAATGCTTGTTGTTGAGGATGGTGGTGATCCTGACTGAGCTTTTGTTTATACTTTGAAGGAATTAGCAGCAGCAACAACAGAAAACAAATATTTGCTCTATGCCAGGCACTGTGCTAAGACATAGAGAGCCAATGATTAGAAAACAAGCTTCCTGACTCTGAGGAGTTTATAGGCTTGTGGGGAGATTCCAAGGATGTGCCCAGCCTGCCTGGAGAGGCCAGGACGACTTCATGGAGGAGGCAGCTTTGAGATGAGCCAGAGGAGAATGGGAGTTTCCCAGGCAGATGAGGGCGGGAGGGAGTTACTGGCCTATGGAACAGTGGTGAAGGTCTGGAGGTGTGAATAGAGCCCTGCTGTGTGTGAGGACCTGCTATCTAGCCTTGCTGGAATGTCAAGTTGTTTTCCATATAACGCCACTCATCCACATTGTATATGTGGTTTGGATGTGCCAACATTTCTTCCTTCCATTCTTCATTCATTTAACCAACCGTTACTGATGGGCCCCTCTGTGTGCCAGGTGCTGTGCAGGACGCTGGGTACAAAGGCGAGGGGTAGTCACAGTGCATGCCGTCCTGGAGCACTAAGTTGAATGACAAATAGACAGGCTGTATCCATAACACGGTGCACTAATCTAGCAGGTCCCACTGGGGACCTAATCTAGCAGGGGCACATTAACTCCTGTTGCTGCTATAGCAAATTGCCACAAACTTAGTGGCTTAAAACGACACACAGTTATCATCTTATGGTTTTGGAGGGCAGAAGTTCAAAATCTGTCTCCTGGGAGGAAGTTAAGATGTAAGCCGGGCTGGATCCTCCTGGAAGCTCTCGGGGAGAACCTGTTCCGTGCCTTTCCCAGCCTCCAGAGGCCGCCTGCGTTCCTCTGCTTGTGGCTACTCACCCTGCTGCTGTCTTTACATCTCTTTCTTCCTCAGACCCTCCTGCCCCCCCTCTTCTAAGGACACTTGTGGTAACCTTGAGCGCACCCAGATAATCCAGGAAAATGTTCCTCTCTCTAGATCTTCAGTTTAAATCACATCTGCAAAGTCGTTATTGTTTTGAACAAGGAGTGACATCCCTGCGATTTTATTTACATTGAGTTTCCCAAGGCAGAGATTGAGCAGTTGAGCGCTCACGAGTGAGATTGTTTACCCCACTTAGGTAATTAGGTTTGTCATTTCCTAATACCTGATTTGCACAACAGCCCGGCCGCACTGTGACAGAGGCCATAACGAGCATTAGTACAATAAAGGGAGAACAAAATTGACATGAAATGGCCGTTCATTGCTGCACAAGACAGATTTCTGAAATGCATGATAGCATTACATGTGCGACACTGCCCTGAACTTCCTGCTGTTCCAGAAACGCCTCCAGCTTCACATATTTATTTCCAAGGTAATGACATTGCCCTTACAGAGACCAGGGGCCTTTGAGAATTCGATGCATTCTGAAAACCAGCGGAGATTTCCTTTCCAATGGCCTCATATTGGAGGAAAATAGAAGAATTTTATTACGACTAGATCAGGCATGGTTACATCTAAAGCATCACATTTTCTGTTGAGAACTACATTTAGGATCTATTTTATTATTCTTATTTTTTTCATGGGACCAAGTTAATTGGCTTAAAGCATCCCTCATTGTTTCTGTCTGTCCTTATGCCGCCTTTCTTTTTCTTCACCTTTAGAAGTGAAGAACCCCAGCCTCCCTTTCTGTGTCTGATTGCTTGACTCATTTCCCTTACAGTGAGCTCATTCTCCTGTTCTTTCTTTTGTGACCGCAGGCCTGGATGAGAGGAACTTTTAAACTTGCTAGTTGTTAATGTCTTCTCTGTTTTTGGTATCACCTCGCCCTCAGTACTTGAACAGAGTAGCCAGGTATCCTTCTCCTATTTATTGTATTTCCTCTCCACATTGAGCAGTATGTCTGCTTTTCAAATATGGCGATTGGTTGTGCATCTTACATATTGTTTAAACAAGGAAGCTAAGGGAGGAGATGAATGATAGCTAAGAGCGACGTGGCTTTCAAATTTGGACACTTGTAGAAAAATATAAACATTTCAAACTCAATTAATGACTTTTTTTTTTTAAACTAGGACTCCTGGTGCTCATTTTTTTCCCCCCAAACTCAAGCAGGCAACTGATCAAATTCCCTAAATGTAGGCCTGCTGAACTGATTTTTAATCTTCACATATGAAAGCTGGCTTGAGGAAGACATCTGTGCTTGGCTTCTGAGTAGTTTTGTGTTTCGCGTTTATAATTGTCTTTTTCCCTCTCCCCCACCCTGTTTTTCAGTGGCTGTTCCCACAGCAGTTCCTCCGGTGTGTCAGCCCAAGGGTGCCACTAACGGGCATTACCCGGCCCCACGCCTCTCCATCTCCTCCCGAGCCACGGTGGTAGCCAGGATGGAAGGCACCTCCCAGGGGGCCCTGCAGACCGTCATGAAGTGGAAAACTGTGGTTGCCATCTTTGTGGTCGTGGTGGTCTACCTCGTCACAGGCGGTCTCGTCTTCCGGGCATTGGAACAGCCCTTCGAGAGCAGCCAAAAGAATACCATTGCCTTGGAGAAGGCAGAATTCCTGCGGGATCATGTCTGTGTGAGCCCACAGGAGCTGGAGACATTGATCCAGGTGAGCAAGGAGTGAGTCAACCACAGAGCCACCTGTGGGGAGAGAGGACAGCAACGATTTTGTCTTTCTGGCTCTGGGAGTATCTGCCTTTGGTTGAGATGCTCCTGATGGTCAGGGAGGTCCTCTCCAGGGAGGTGATATTTGAGTTGAGACCTCAAAGAAGCCAGACAGTGAGGCATGTGACGATGTGGAGGGAGAATGGCCATACACGCAGGGCCCCGACATAGGAGCAGGCTGGGATCGCAGCACCTGCTTTTGAATGTGGTGGCCAGAGTCAGCAGCAGGCAAAAGGGCTGTGGGCTGTCAAATTCCAGTCCACCTGTGTGCGCTGATTAGCTTCCTGGTTCTGAGGTCTGTGTGAGACACTGGGCTAAGAGGGTGCCCCAGAAGCCAAAGAAAGAAAGAATTTGAAACAAGCAGGCATGTGTTAACCAGCCCAAGGTCAAAGAGGACAGAGTAGAGGAAAGGCCATGAGATGGCGGATGAGGAGGCAGTTGGTGACTTGGGACAGCCATTTGGGCAGACTTATGGGGATGAAGTTATAAGAAGGGCAGTAATGGTAATGATCAAGGTTGCCGTTTGCGAACACTTGCTGTGTGTCAGGCACTGTGCTAAGGCCCTTACGTACCCTAGGTATTAACGAGAAAAGATCCGTTAAAAAATGGAAGCAGAGAACTCAGGTGACCACTTAGAGAAGCAAGGCGAGAGCAGAGGGTGGAGGTGGCATTGGCAGGGGTGAAACGTGGCTGGGAAGGGGGGTGGGAGAGCAGAGTCATCGGAGGCGGTGTGATGGGAGGAAATGAAACAGGAGGCTTGAGAAGCCTGTGAAGGGCAGAGAGGACTGAGTCCCAGGAGGAGGAAAGGGAAACGGTCGGGAGTCCAGCTGGAGGACTTCACCTTGGAGGTGAGGGAGGATGGCTGCCTCTGAGTCTGAGGTTTGATTTCCTATCCCACACACAACCTCCTGAACCATGAAGGATTGGTCATGGTGAAAAGCAGTGACATTTATGGAGGCAAGACAGAGTCTCCTTGGGGCTCTAACGTTTGGAGGGCAGAGGGATGGAAAAGATGGCTTCCGTGATTCCTTCTGTCTCTGGGGTTATCTGCGTTAAATTCTGATGGCTACTTCAATCCAGTGTTCTGTAGGATTTGCAAGTCTGGGTGGGCTTGTTATTTATTTATTTCAAACTATGTTAGGGGAGAGGAATTCCAAGGCTACTTATGATCTGGCACTTTCATAATAATTATATTCTTTAAAATCACTTTTTTTTTTTTAAAGATTTTTTTTATTGGTGAATTGGGGGGATGGGAACAGTGCTGGGGAATTGGGGGAAGGGGAACAGACAAGTTGCCGGCTTCTGGACGGCCGCTCACTGCGGCTGCTGGCCGCTCACGCTGGCTGCTGGCCGCTCACGCTGGCTGCTGGATACATACAGTAGCCCATGGCAACCCACTGCCACAGAGGCTGCAGCCTATGCCGTGCCAGCGACTCACAGCAGCCCAGCTCCAGGTTGAGTTGTTGTTTAGCATCTTAGCTGTAGAGGGCAGTGTCACTGGCCCTCATATGTGGGATCCGAACCAGGGCCCTCTGGCGTCCCAAGCCAGTCCTTAACCATTGCGCCACTCGGCCGGCCCTAAAATCACTTTTGATAATCTGACTTGCTTCTTACATAAATAAAAATACACGTTTCTTTCCCCCCTGGGAATAAATATGATTTCATACCTATGCCCTACAATTTCTATAAAAAATAAAACTTTTAAATGCTGAAATTCAAGGGAAATGTTTCATATCACTCTTGGATGGTCTTACGTTTTGTTTTTCTTTTCCTTTCATGAGAAAATGCTACCAAATGTGGTAACAAGAGTGTTGTGTTAATCTAGTTTGTTGTGATGAACAGATTTAAGGCCTGGAATGCCATAGAGAATGGAGGAAACAACTCTAGAGTAGTTTTAACTAAGAATGCAATTACATTTATATTATACATGTTGTTTTGATATGTGGTAAGATCCTTTTTACTTAGTTGCAGTAGATATAATAAACTAATGGTCTGAACTGAGTCTAGATTCATGCTTGAATTTTCCGTCCTTAGTGAGATCTTGAGAAAAGGGTCATTGTTTTATTATCTTTGCATCCACGGGTAGCCTGTGCATTGCCTTGCATCTAATTATTGACCAATAGAAAACTGTTTTTGGAATGAGATATTCAACTAGATCTGTAACATTGATAATGCCATGAGGTAGCTGATCTTATTCATGCATTTGTTTATTAACGCAGTATTTCTGTATTGCCCATTCTTGGCTTTCTCCTTTATGAAAGAGCTTAGAAGTCAGAATGAATGACAGGATGGGGAAGTATAGAGGTTCTAATTCTGGTGCTGCCATTAAGACCTATCCCATTTTGATCTCAGAGGTTTTTCTATTAAATGAGGTGTGTGTCATTTTTATAACAATTTAAAAAACTACCCTTTATTAGGCACCCATTATGAGCTAGGCACCTTATGCCCATTATCCCATTGAATCTTTCCAATAATCTTCTAAGTTGGTATTTTTATTATGCCCATTTTACAGGTGAGGAAACTGATGCTATAAGGGGTTGAATAACTTTCAAGCTGCCAATGTGGCAGAGCTGGGATTCAAAGTGAGGTCTGTCTGACTCCTCCTGCCTCTCGCAGTGAGTCTACAAGCCCTTGAGTAGGTCTTGCTCTATCGTTAGCCCCACTCTCTTAAACATTTGCTTTAGGTTTAACGCTTTCTAGAATTTTAGCAGAGTTAAAAAGCATTGGAGTACCTTGTGCTCTAACGGAGAGCATTTCTCTATTTCTTCCCTCTATACCCATTGAGTATCTGTCCTGTACCTGGGGTACTTTAAGATCTCCATCTACTGTGACTGAAGAATTTACACTTCTGCTTATCTCCAGTTTTTGTAGGTTAAGCAGGTTTAAATGCTGAATCTGTGTCAGTCAAGAATCAAATCATTGTGGCTTACGTAGTTCACCGATTCCTTCATAGGAAGAAAATGTCCACACTTGTGGAGCAGGCAGCATTCTCTCACATTATACCTCTAAGCGGCACTGTGTATAGTGCTCCTAAGAAACACAGTGTTTTTGAGGGTTTTGGTGGTGTGTTTTAAGCTGGTAAAATAATATTATTGTATCTCTCTAAAGTCTGAAAGAAGGGAACGATAGGTAGAAAATTAGACTTACGGGATTTATCTGATAACATTGGGACTCTTGGCTGGATGGAGTGATCCCTGATAAAGCTAAGCCAGAAGTTATAATTTGTGTTATTAATGACAAAAGCAGAATATCCAGAATATCATAACCCCCATGAAATGCCCAGATAGCTTAGAAGAGCCATAGCCAGGGAGGGGTTTTCCAATGAGTTAAACTCCTCTACGGGATACTATGGGACTCCAGAGGAGAATGACAGCTCACTGTCACTGAAAGGTGAAGACAGATGGATTGCTGTTGTGTAGGAGACCATCTGATTCATTCATTCATCCATCCACTCATTCATTTGTTCATTAATTTGATCGTTCACTTATGCTTTCTTTAGGTTTCTATTGAGCTCCTGTTTTATCAGGTAATATACTAGGTGGGTGGGGATGGAAAAAATGAGAATAAGACACATTTAGAGGCAGTTACTAACCTCTCTGTGATCCAGTTTCTTTATCAATAAAATGTGCCTAAAATCTTCCACCCTGAGGGTAGTGAGAGGATTGAATTCTATAATTCATGCGTAGAGCTTTGAACTGTGCTTGATACCTGGTGAGCACTCAGAAAAAGGTAGCTATTGCTGCTGCTGCTGTTTATAGTATTATTCAAGGAGCTCAGAGTTTCAAGCACTGGTTCTTAAGGGGGCAGGGGTTTGCCTCTAGGGGACATCAGACAATGTCTGGAGACATTTTTGGTTGTCACAATTGGGGAGGTGCTATAGACATCTAGTGGGCAGAGGCCAGGGATTCTGCTGAACACCCTACAATGCACAGCATAGCCCCTCATCACAAAGAACTCTCTAGTCTAACATGTCAATGGGTTGAGGAACCTTGGAGGGAGGGGCATGTAAACCAATCCTTAGAATTCACTGGCCTGGACCTATTTGAAGTATGTGAAACAGTGGGAGCCCCAGAAAGGCAAACAGGGAAGGTTTTGTGGCTACTTATCTCCTTTAGTTTCTATAACTATTCTATGATGATAGTCTTCTGTGCCTATTCACAGACAAAGAAACTGAGGCAGAAGGAGGTAAAGTTACATGCTCAAGGTCACCTGGTGAGTAAGTGGAGGATCCAGGATTCACCCTTCGGTAGTCTGAACACGTATCCCAGGCTCTTAAGCACCACATATTAGAACAGAAATGTGGACTATAGGAGGGGGTGTATTCGCTAGGCCAAGTGAAGGGCATCCCAAGGGCATGTGTGGTCCTTGGAAGGAGCCACAAATGGTCAGTGTGGCTTGAGCTGAGAGGCATGGAAAGCAGTGCTAGGGGGGCTGGGGATGAGAGTGGGGGCTCAATTTGGGAGGTGCCCGGAAAGCCTTGCTGAGGAATTGGAGCTTCATGCTATGGGCAGTGGGGAGTCACTGAAAGATTAAGCAAAAAAGTGACAGGATGGGAACTTCCTTTTGAAAAGATAACTCTTGTAGCAATGGTGAAGTTGAGTTGGAGGAAGGAGGAATTGGAGGAAGGAAGACCAGTTAGAAGAATATTGCAACATCGTAGGTGAGGGGTGCTAAGCGATAGAGACCAGGCCATATTTAAGAGAATTCAACAAAGGAAACTTGAAAATGATTCATTCCCGTGTCAGCGAAGAGTGCCTGCTCTGCTCTCCACACCCTTGCCTGTTCAAGCACAGGCCACGTGGGCAGCAGAGCCTGGTGATAAGCGCCCAGACTCTGGAGTTAACTTTCCCATGTTAAATCTCTTTACTGCTCATGGGCTGTGACTTGGGGAGTCACTAGGGGAGTCACCTCAGGCCTCAGTTTCCTGTCTGCCAAATAGAGATT